AGTATATTGTGTTACAATCTTGGGGCCCTTTTCTAGTATTTCTAGATCTGTGTAATGTAGAACTCCCACCTTGTTGAAATTTACTAAGGCTCCCCAGTAAGTCCTTTTTGAAATCATTAAGTACTTCTTGTAACTGGTTCTCAATTCTAATTTCTAATGCTTCCATTTGTTCTTTCACTAAGTTATCGGTGGCCATTTTCGTAACACTGCAAATCTGTAATCTCAACTCCTATTTTTGGTGTTGGTCAAGGGCATCAATCACTGCCTTATTCGGTGCTATTGTTGTGACGCAGTCGGTGGCAACACTTTGGGAATGAAGGGTTGCTGCGAGGATGCGAGGATGTAGCCGCGGTCGCCGCGTGGGAGGCAGCGATGCTTGTTGCGGTCGCTACATAGAGGGATCACTGTTGCTGAGGGCTTGGAGGCAGCGATGGTGGTGCGGCTGGGGCAGCACCGCCAAGGGCTCACCGCTGCGATGGCTGTGACGGCGCGGATGGAAGGTAGCGTTGCTCTGTTTCTGTCACACTGCGGAAGGAGGCGCTGGTGAGAGGCAAGGCAGCGTACTTGCTGCAGTTGCTGCGTTCGCTGTTAGAGGGCGGCTGCTGCAGAACGAGGGGTTGGTCGTTGGCCGGGAGTGACGACGGTGGTTACAATCGGCAGCTGCGGCAGCAGAGGGTGCCACTGTTTTTGTTGCTGCGTGGTGGTTGCTATGTACTATGTTTTTGTTGCACCACCGAAGGAGTTGGCCGGAAGGATCACGAGCGGTTGAGGAGAAGGCTGCGGTGGCTGGCAGCAGCAGTGGTCGCTAGCCGGAGCACAGCGTTGGCGGTGGAGAAGGCAGCAGCGAGGGTCGCGGTCGGGATCGACGGGGGCTGCAGCAACAAGGAAGCTCTGTTTCTACAACCGTTGCAACGAGGGCTGCGGCAACCGGCGGCTGCGGCTGCGATCGTGCGGCCGAGAAGCACCGGCAACGGTGGAGAAGGAGGAGTCGGCGGTGTCATGGTTGGGAACAAGGGCAACCGGTGAGTTGCCCTGTTTCTAGCACTACGGATGTAGAGCAAGGAGGATTGGCTGCTGGGAGGCGTGCGGCGATTGTCGCACGGTGGCCCGCAATGGTGATGGGTCATCTGGGCGGCAACGGCACTGGAGGGGAAGAGGAGTGCTGGAGGCGGCGCGGCTGCGATCGACGAGGGGCTGCGGCAACAGAGGAACTCTGTTTCTGCAACCGTTGCGACGAAGGGTTGCGGCAACCGGCAGCTGCGGCTGCGACACAAGGGGCGGGGCACAGCTAGGGTTACGGTTGGGAGGCGGGCGGCGGTGATCGATCGGCCGGGAAGCAGCGGCGGCGGTGGAGAAGGAGTTGCCCTGCAGCGGCTGAGAGAAGAGGAGCAGGGCTGCGGTAGAGTGGGACGCTGGCAGCATCGTCTCCTGGCAGCGGTGGTGGCTCGGGTGGGAGGTGGCGGTGGACTCTGGCCGGAAGTGGGGCAGAGTCGGTTGCTGGCCGGAGAGCAGCGACGGGCGGCGGGTGGGCTGGCCGGAAGCAGGGGAAGCAGGGGTGCGTGGCTGCGGTTGATAGCTTCGTTGCAGCGAGAATGCAAGGATCACTGCTTTGATACCAAATGATAAGACCCTAAAATCTTATCATGGCTTTGATACCAAATGATAAGACCCTAAAGTCTTATCGTGGAAGAAAGGGGAGAAATGGGGATGATAATGATCGCTTCGAGGGGATCGGCCTCCTTGATCGCTTCGAGGGGATCGGCCTCCTTGATCGCTTCGAGGGGATCGACCCTCCTTGATCACTTCGAGGGGATTGGCCTCCTAGGGTTTGTCCAAAGACAGACTTGAACTCTAATAATAAATAAATATTAAATAAACCTCTATTTGACTCTAACTGAACCAAACCGACTTAATAAACAACTGGACTAAACAAACTCAATAAACATTATTCAAAAGCTTAGAAAAAGGGTCCTAACAGCCGACTAGGGTTAGGAGGTTGTTTCTTAGAGAAGAATTATGAGTTGTAAAGGAATAGGAGTCATATTAGGAGTTAGGGTTTAGAAGCCCTATAAATAGCCATGTATTCCTCCTATTTTCATAAGCAATAGATGAATCTTTTCTGCAGCCTTTGAGCAGCAACTTGGAGGGAGAAACCCCTATGGAGTTCCAAGGAGGCCGATCCCCTAAAGAGATCAACCCCAAGTTTAGAATCTATAAGGGTTCTAACACTCAGGCCCATCAAAAATGCCTGCATGATCAAAGAGGGATGAGCATTTGGGAACCCTCGGATTTCAGCGGCAGATTGCGCCACAAATTGTGAAAGTGATTCGTCCTCACGTTGGGATAACGCGAGCAATGTGGCCATGGAAGGCCAAGGTTGTACGCTAGCCAGAAGTTTTGCTCAAACTCCCTTGCGAATTGATCAAAGGAAGAGATCGGGGATGGCCATAATCGGCTGAACCACACCCGTTCCGGTCCTCTGAAGGTGGTCGGGAATGCCCGACACATCAGGGCATCGGAGGTGCCGTAAAGGGCCATTTGAGCCTAAAACGCGACGACATGCTCCGTGGGGTTGGAGCCGCCGTCGTATGTTTCTAATGTTGGGAGTCTGAAGTTGAGTGACATAGGCTTGTCCTGGATTTCCTAGGCGAATGGGGATCCACCCGAGCTGCTCTCGCCCGTCTCATCACGCAACTTGTGGAATTCGTGCTAGAACTCATCTAGGCGACGGTTGACCACAGATAGCTGGACCCTGAATGAGTCATCCGCCGAGTCCGATGACAAGGTGTCAGGCTCGGGGAGGGATGTAGTGGCTCGGTGAGGTGCGGGCGTGCTTTGCTTGAGAAGACTCCCTAGGGTTGTGGTATGCTCTCGAGCTTCTCCGGTCCTGACTTGTTCCCTGTTTGGCCTCTACAATGTCGGGGAGGCTACTAACTGCACCATCTGTGGGATGAGTTGGACGATCAGTTGCATCATTCCCGCCAAGGTTTGTACCTACCTAGCCAGGTCGAGGAATGCCTCAGGTGAAATGACCGAGGGTCCCGTAGTATCCGGGGGGAGAGAGCCCTGGATCATTGAACAAACACCAATAGCGATCCGACATCAGAACTGGAATCCCCCCGTCCTTAAGGACAGGGAGGAGCTGATCACCGAGTCTGAAAGGGGCGTGGTCAGCTGGTAGCTCTCCCTCGGGGGGAACTCTTGTGGGGTGCTTCTACGACATCGGCCCTCCTTTTAGTGCCAAAATATTGATGAACGAGTGTATCGTGGTCGATGCGTCTGCACGACTTGGTCTACGGGTCGATGTCGGGAGTTCACGATCGGTTGGGCAAGACGCCAGGGCTAATTGCATCCGCAAGTTGGGATGTCGACACCGTTTGAGGGTAAGCGCCTCTCGGTCGGGACACGAGTGTTGTCTTCAGGAAGGGCGTCTCTCGATCGGGGTAGTCATACTTCCAGGGGTGGTAGCGCTCCTATACAGAAGGCCCTCATCGAGAAGTTCCCGACTTTGGCCCCTCGACGATTAAATTAGTGATTGGCTTCCTCCTTTCTTTTTTTTTCTCCCCCTAGTCGGATGCCGGTCAAGGGCTTTTATACTATTGTGCGAGAATCGACTATATGCGGGTTTGGCGCGACGGCCGTTCCTCAAGTAGCGGGGTGGTACCTTCATGCGGTCGGCATCTCGGAATGCATGGAACGACGCCATGCGGTGCCGTCCCGAGCTTTCCGAGACGGGATGTATCGAGAGGCGCCTCGGTACGGATCCTGTTTTGGCACGTAGAAATACTCCTTGTGCTAACTTGGCAGGGGCGTGATGCAGCATTGGTTGTGACGTGACTAGGGCCCAAAATTATCAACATATAACACGCACACAACCACTTTTTTTTTTTGAATTAATCCTATTTAGTCTTTTTATTACTATTGTTTCCAACAAAGGTTAACTTGTTTTATTTACTCTGCAAATATCTAGTAAACTGATTAGAGACCTTTTAAGCAATAAAACAATAAAAGAATATTTACTTAATTCATTTCTTCCAGATAAAAGAAAGAACAAAGAGATGCATATTTTGTGTCAAGTAATGCATATAAAAGAAAAAAAAATATTTAATATATAATTTAATCTAGTTTTTCTCCAGTTCAAACCAACCTTCTAGAGCACCGCCCATGAATCGGAGGGGGCCCAGTGCCTTTTCCTGGGGCGGTGACGCGACCCTCCTCTGGCTCTGCCGTCCATAGAGGTACAAAGAGACCAGACGCGCCACGTGCCAATTTGGTCGTCGACCATCACAACGGTGAGACCAACTGCGTTGACCTCTCTTAAGAGTATCTCGCAACTGGTTCACTTGGTGGAAGGATTAGAGGAGGTAAGGTTACTGAGGGTGCGAAAACCTCGTTGGGTGTTCTGAAAATATCTGACACGGCGCTTTTTAATCTTTTCCGTCCACCGTTCGCGTCACGATGGGAGGAGAATCTGGCGCTCCAGCCGCGGAGGCGGTGGAGGTAGACGAGGAGCGGCGAGCCGCGCTACTGCGGCGGATAACGGAGGAGGGCGGTTTCGCGTTCGTGAGCTCGGCGGAGAAGGCGGCTGGCGGCGACCTCCGGGCGGCGGAGGCGGCACGCGAGATGGCGTGGGAGCAACTCCACTCGGGGCCCTGGCACGAGGTCGTCCCTGCGTGGCGGGACGCCTACGCGATGGCGTGCCTCCACGTGGCGGAGCTCCGGGCCGGGGCCGGGGCCGGCGACAGGAGGGAGGCCCTCCGGGCGCTCGACATGGGGCTCATCATGGGCGGCCCGCTCCTCCGCCGCGACCTCGACGAGGCCGTGCAAAGGATCGCGGCGTGCGCCGAGGACGTGGTGGTGGCCGACGGTTGCACGGACAAGTGGAGGGAGGGGATCTCCAACAACCGAGACCTAGCAGAGGTGAGAGATTCAAGCACTAAAGATAAAAATGTCTTCTTTGAACAGAATTGCATAAATTTCTTCACAATATATTGGTCAATCTATTGTTGGTTTAACTCGCTCGGTTATGTTTTGGATACATTCTATTTGTATAACTTCTAAACTTCCTCTTCCGGATTTGATGTTTGAGATTGCTTTTCTTGACTGCTTCGTATTGCAATGGTAGGCCTCAACTGTTCACTGAACAAATCATCATGTGTCTTTTGAGTTTCTACTTTTTACCTCTTCATTTACATCGGCTCATTCTTTTTGTGATTGTGTTCACTTGTTAATTCAAGAACTTATTGATCTTTGGTTTGTGATGAATAAGGAAGCTTACATCGTTGTTTTTCTTTTTACATTCTTTATCAACAATTATGCCACAACTCAAATTTTGAGTTGTACTTCTCTCATTTTGAATCGGCACATCTCCTTGAAGAATACACAATCATTCGAGCTACTGGATTTGTTCAAATACGTTTGTGAGCATGAATTTTTAGTTGATCAACAATGCACATGTATAGACCTGAATTACGCTATCATTTTATGAACTTTTCTTGTAGGCACTTCGAATATTGCCAAACAAATCACTATCCTCTAAGAAAGTTGAGAAACGGCCATCCCTTTCACTGGAGACATTTATATGTGATTATTTTTTACATGATTCCCCGGTTATCATCAGTGGATGCATTGATCATTGGCCGGCACGGACAAAGTGGAAGGATATAGCGTATTTACAGAGGGTAGCAGGAGATCGAACTGTCCCAGTTGAGGTGAATAGCCTTTCCTTGTGTTGCTGAATTTATGACATCATGGGAGCAACTTGCACATGGATGACAGATTGGAGGAAAAAATCATATGCATTGAAAAACTCTAAAACCTAATAGATGAATCAAAGTAATGAAACTTTATCTGTGCCTAAATGAAAAATCTCAAGGCATTACATAGCTTGAATAAAACTTTTGGTTTATGCTAGATCAAAAGGTTGTCTCTTCTAATCCATTAAAAGCTGTGTGATTCATATACTGTTGGTTTACTTCTTGGTCAAAAACTCAAGCTTTGTTTCGTACACCGTTGGAATCATGATGTGCTTAATGTCAACACCCCCAATCTCCCATGCTGTAATGGGCTCTGAAAGTTAAGGATGGCCTGGCATAGTCTAGTTTTCTTTCATATACCACTGGATAATGCTTGAATTTCTGCTTTTACATTATTTAATTTATGGGTTGATTATCGTATGCTAGTCCTTGCGGTCAAAACTGCTTTAAACTTTTGTGAATTCTTCACAATTAGTTGCTTATAACTTGCTATTATCTTGCTTTTCTCTGTTATTTGGAGTACGGATATTCAGAGTCTATCTTTCAAGGTCACTTAGAATTGGATCGTGGAATTTTAGAATCTATATGTCAAGGTCACTTAAATGAGCATATGCACATACCAAGTTATTGATATTACTAATTAGGCTACATAAGTGCCAATAATTTTAGACTAAAAGCTAATTTCATATTTAGGTTGGGAAGAACTATCTCTGTTCTGAATGGAAGCAAGAGCTAATTACTTTCTCACAGTTTCTTGAGAGGGTTCATTCAAATAACTGCCCTTCCAACTTGACATATCTGGCTCAGCATCCTTTGTTTGATCAGGTACCTCAACAATTCTTCAATATTATCTTCACCGTGTATCAAATAACTGTTTCTACTGAACTGGCAGATACAAGAGCTACGTGATGATATAATGATTCCCGACTATTGCTTTGCTGGTGGTGGGGAACTCCGATCCCTTAATGCTTGGTTTGGTCCACTTGGTACAGTGACACCATTGCACCAGGATCCTCATCATAATCTTTTTGCACAGGTATATTGAGATGTGCATAATAAATATGTTAAACTGATATTTATCACTTTTAAAATCTTTATTCAACTTGCTGCATAGTAAATCCAAAAGGACATCATTCACCCACAGGTAAAGTACCATTCTCTTCCATCTTTTGTTGGTTACTTGCTGCCTGAACTTGACTGCTCATGTCATATGCTTATATGACTGCCCAACATATAGCTGCTTTCACCACTGTGGCATTGTTGAAGTCTGCTAGGCCTGTTATGGCAAACAATGAGAGAAGTTAAATGGATTTAAAGATCTATTTCCAAGAAAAAAAGAAAAGTACACTGATTTGTTTTGACAGAATCTTGACTTGCATAAAATTATCAATATGCCTGAGATTATATGCATTTGACAAAATCTATTAAGTTGAGTGGCAGGCTCGGTAAAGTCTGCTTGGTTTATTTTCTCTACAAGACTCTTAGAGTACACCATTTTGCACTCTGACATGCACTTTGGCTTCATGTGAAATACTAATTATTTTTAACGAGTCACATTTTATATTATCCCAGATAATTGAAACAGTATGGTTTGTTGTTGTTAATCATGTCTTATATTACCCAAGAAAAACAATCTGAAGATGCTCAGATTGGTTTATCAGAAACAATGAAAATAATGGTATTATTTGGGATTCAATTACTGGATGCTCCTAAGGGATTCTTTAAGGGCAACGCCCCCAAAATTTTGTCATATCTCAGATAGTGATCAAGACAATTCTTAGACTTAATAATCAAGATGCTACCAATATAGTGCCTAGATTTGCTTATGCAAAAAAAAGAGAGGCATTTTTTAACCTGAGTTAATTCCGTATCTTGTAGGACCATTTGATTCACAGATATAAGGTTGTCAGACAAGAAGGTATAAGCTTTGTATGAGCCAAATTAGTCTAACTATAAAAAATAGAAGGAATCAATGAAGATAATGTGGTTAAACCTCCTTGTTACTGGAACAATGATTATTCCACAGGAAAACCTGTAGCAAGAGCTATATCAACTTTTGTTCAAAGTTTGTGTCAGTTAACAGCTTTGTCTCTTTCCTTTTTTGTCTACAGAACCATATATATAAATAAATATGTGTGTGTGTGTGTGTGTCTACACATATTCATAACCATGTTAGCATTGTCAGCATCATTGGCTGCCCACCAGTAAATGCAGTGATGCCATTTTCCTCCTCAAAAAGGTCATGTTCATTTGTATACAAGTGATTGTATACACATGCTAACAATGGTTGCTAGGCTATTGTAATAAAGCTTGCAAAATCAATGTGTATGCCCACGGATGTTATAAACTATTTTATTTTGAACATGTTGAACCCATGTTAAACATAGTAATGTCCAGGATAAATATGATGGCTGTCTAGTTCTTGTTTGGAACAACTCCTCATTCCAGCATTAGTACTTATATAGTTATTTCAACTAATAAACATTCTAGACAATTATAGCCAAATAGATATGAATATGACTTGTTCGAATAGCCTATTCCACTAGCATAGTAATTTCTATTTCACTCTTATGGTCATACCCAATGGGTCATAGATCTTTGATGCCTAGGGGCACAGTTCCATAAGACCAAAATCGGGTGATTTTCTCATTTGATTGTCTTTGATGTCATGATATATAGGTGATTGGCAGAAAATACATAAGACTTTATCCAGCTTCAGCATCAGAGAGCTTGTATCCTCATACGGAATCCATGCTTAGCAATTCCAGCCAGGTATGTAGTTACTAGAAAACACTGAGAAAGCACGAGCCTCAGTTATGCAAATTCCTGATTGTGAAAGGCATCGCCGCCTGGCTTTACAAAACAGCCTCACTTGGGGCATGCAATTTTATCTATGGTAGCCTTGACTTTAACCTGGTATGCCTGCCAGGATTTGGAGTATTTGTGGTAGGTATGCCCAAGCTGACTATATCTGGTTCTTGACGATCTCAGCCTTCCCAACAGTATCATTACTTTCAAAAAAGCAGTTGGTTTTCATAAACATTTAGAACTTAATTTGCTGATTAACTTAGTGGGAAAATGTCATGTGGCATAGCATGTTACCAAGTTCTAGGGTGAAATTTATAATGTTGTTTCGGATCTGTCTGCAGGTTGACCTCGACAACATTGATTTCACAGAGTTCCCAAAGGTGGAAAATCTTGATTTCTTCGACTGTGTCTTGGAGGAAGGTGAAATGCTTTACATTCCACCCAAATGGTGGCATTATGTGAGATCACTTTCTACCAGTTTCTCTGTCAGTTTTTGGTGGAGCGCAACAGCCTATCCCTCTGAAGGTGCATAGTATTAGTGTTCCTTGCCATTCCATAGCCTTTTTGGACGGGGGTTGTATGAGAGGAAATCATGGAATCACAGGATTAATTATGTTGGACTCTATTTGTATACACAGAGGACCCACTATTTGGGATCCATCATTACAAGATTTAGTTTTGTTGGTCTATCACAGGGTGTATCTTAATCTATACACACCTTTAGCCTGTAATATCGCATTTGTGTTTTGTCTATCGAATTGAAGTTAAGAGCAGCACTACTACTGACTACTTTCCCCCCAGCAGTGATACAGGACAGGTCCTTCCCTCCATGTATGTCAATTGATCATCTTTGTGTTGTGACCCCAGCAGTGATTCAGGTTTTCGTGGATTTGATGATGCTGCATCAACTGATTCTCCAATATTTTATTCCCTAAAAATTCTTCGCTTTCTGTTTACGTCAAAAGGAAAGCTTGAAGCACATGCAAGCGTGTTGGGAGCATGCGCCGAGCATGATGACAAGAACCAACACAGAACATGGCAGCTATGATGACATATGATATGAAATCTAGCAATTGCTTGGGTGTATGTATAAGAAGAAATTTCATCTTTCTAGGAACACAGGTCATCGGATCGGAAATCAGGTACACATCTTCTGTGATCGCCGTAGTAAGAAATTCTATCTATGGTCGCTTGCTCACGGAGTTCAGATTGAAGCGGTAACATGACTGCCTTGGAGTGGCGCTGCCAAAGAGCTGCTCCATCGTGCCCATGCCTCGAAAGATACCGAGCTCCATGAACTTATCTGCTGGTGCGGCTGCTGCTGCTACGCAGGGTCATGGGTTCCGCAGGCAGGACATCCGGGCGGCACTGGCGAAGGCAGCGGAGCTGAGGGCGCTCCACGCGGCGCTGCTCCAGGGGGGGAACGGCGGCAGCCCAGCGGTGGCGAGGTTGCCTGCCGGTGTTTCCCGCCCTGCGAACCGGTTCTCTGTATTTGAAGATTACCCTGTCTTCACGCCGGTGAGTAGTGCCTACTCTTTTGGTTCGTCATCGTAAGAGTCCTGTCGCCGTTCCATGCAAAACTGGACATCTCTCTGTGGTTTCCATAGTGCTGGAAGAATCAGTAGTAAAAAATTTCAGTCCATTCGAAGTTGTAGTCGATCAGAGGGTACATTCAACCATCCGATCTGCACATTTGTTTCCATTCCGAAAAATATGAAACACACTTTTGACTCGGTGGAGGAATTTCAATAAGAATTTTATATTACCAGTATAGTCTCAATGTCTATTTCAATAAGAATTTCAATAGGAATTTTGATCTCTATGTCTCAACATCCAGTCGACTGCAAACCCTCCAGTATATGAGTAGTAGTCTTTGTTTACTGGAAATTTTCCATTTGCAACGATGCAGTACTCAACAAAATCATTCCTTTTAAATAAAATAATAATAAAAAGGAAAAATTCTATCGATATTCAATTTAAATCATGAAATCCATTCTTTGACATTTTTCACACAAATAAGGTTAAGAGAGACCCTCAGGAAAAAGTATGAAAAAGAATATATAACTCAATTCATTTTGCTACATTCTCCTACTGACAAGGCTCTACAACAACATCTAATTTTCTCCTCATTATCTATCTACCCAACCACCATTGTTAGATTGCATATATGCACTGTTTTGTTGCTTAGTTTCATATACTTTTGTGTTGAGAGGAAGAGAAAAACTCGAAACCATTAAGAGATTTTTGGAATATATAGATAGCAAAACGCTGATGTAAGACTTAATATAATTTGATATATATTTTTATCCATAGAGAAAATTATTTTTTTTTTAGTTTACAAGAAAAATCAAATGCAAGAAATCATTTTGAGTTAATTCAAGCTCAACTCCTAAAAAAACTCTCTCACACACACAAACCGGAAAACACTTTTCTCGTAATCTTCTCTATATCCATCCATCCATCTTTGGATTTTCTTATTAAAATTTGACTCACTGGTGCATTTATATGAACAAATAAATGTAATTAAGGATCCTAATACGTTTCTTATTGTTTAAAACGACGGGCATTCAAGAAATTATCCACTGGCTCCCCGTGCACTAACCATGTCCCCCCATTGCAGGTTGCTCCAGACGCTGTGATTCTGACGTGCTCGAGTAGACGAACAGGTTCATGGGCAAACACAATAGTCACGTCATACGAGACATGCAGGGAGGAAACCGTTGACTTGGATGTGGCCGGTGGGCAAAAGGACCTGAGCGACAACGTCAAGAGCACTCGGGCACTGCCCACTCCACAGCAATCCGTAAAGATGCCCGTAAAACACGGAGGGTCAATCCTTTCATGGGTTTTGTCTAAATCAACAAGGAAGTGCAAGCCCGAAACGCCGCCAAAGACGATGGCGTCCGACGACATGTCCCAACTTTTGAAGGAATGGGGGGTTTCTTCACTTGAATCACTGGAGGAGGAGCTCCTCCACGCCAAGGAGAATAGGGATGCTGCCCTGGCAGAAGTTTCAGAGATGAAGTCCTTACTGGCAGAGCTGCAGCAGAAGCTACACAGTTTGGAAGCTTACTGTGAAGAGTTGAAGAAAGCTTTAAAGCAGGCTGTGCATGGAAAGAGTCCCCAGGTTCTATACAAGTTTAAGCTGTCCAAGAGAGTGAAATCCATCAGAGGCAGCCGAGACGATTTGATGCCCGTCAGCCAAGAGGTACTGGTGGAGGGTTTCTTGCAGATAGTCTCAGAGTGCAGGCTCTCTGTCACGCACTTCTGTGAGACACTCATCCACCAAACCAGGGAAACTGATGACGATCTGTCAGGGAGGCTAAATTTGCTTCTCCAACCACATCAGATGACATTAACTAGTAGTAACTCCTCCAAAGTAGCACTCTGCCATTTGGAAGCCATCGTGAACCAATCTCTGTATCAGGATTTCGAGAACTGTGTGTTCCAAAAGAATGGATCGCCAAAGTTTCTAGATCCCCGGCGTGAGCGCCAGGAGAACTTCTCGTCTTTTGTTGCACTCCGGAACTTGGGCTGGAATGAGGTTTTGCACAAGGGAACGAAGCACTACAGTGACGATTTCAGCAGGTTTTGTGATCGAAAATTTAGTAGCGTTGCTGCGGTGCTGAATTGGTCAACACCATGGCCTGAGCATCTTCTCCGATGCTTCTTGATAGGTGCCAAATGCATTTGGTTGCTCCATCTGCTGGCGTTTTCCTTCGAACCATCGTTGATGATTTTGCGGGTCGAGGGAAACAGGGATTTCGACCCCATTCATATGGAGGAGATTCCATTGGACGGTCACAGAGCACAAGCCCCTGCTCGAGTTAGGACCATGGTGATGCCTGGATTCTTTGTTCGCGACCGGGTGCTGAGGTGCAGAGTTCTCTGCAGGTATGGTTCTGAATCATAAACACTCGATAATAGCACCATGTTTGTGCTTCCTTGAGTGATCAAAATCAATCGATGTTTCATCATATGTTGCATGCTTCTCCTTCTCTTTCTTCTCAAGGATTGGCTTGATGAGACTTTCAACTTTTGCTCAACAAACATTGAAGAGATATCGATCTCCCAACCAAAGTGCGTTTGAGATTACACTTACAGTTTGAGTTACCTTATGCGTTAATTAGCATGAGATATACAAATATGCTCCAGAGTACAACATATAGAGAGAGAGAGAGAGAAAGAGAAATAAGTAAAATGGGAGGGGGACAAAGCAGCTGTCAACTCAATGAAACTGATATGTCCAGGGAAGGACACAGCCAGCTACTATGACAAGGCAGTGTCATTAAACCTGAACGACACATCGCCTGCAGTGTCTCACCCGGGCCATGTCTCGGATGAATCATCCGCAACGAGGTTCTTGGGCAGTTCAGCTGCCAAAGGAGGAAACCGAACAGAAGGTGCTGCTGCGGGCTTGCACCGTCCGAGCTCATCGGCCGATGCCTGCTCCCACATCAGAACATGAATCCGAATCGGCTTCAGAGCATGCCTATGCAAGGAGAGCTTCTGGCTGAGCGAGATGGTGTCGAAACAACGAATGGCTCCTGCGGAGGACACCATCCACGGGAGGACCTTCTCATTGGACACCCTCGAGATCACTAGCAGCTTGGACGAGTCTCTTGCTTGTCTGAACAGAACTCCAAGGCCCGATCGGGTTGAAGCTGCTGCTTCATCGTCGGTTTCGTCAACCGAAGCAATGTAGATGAAGCCCTGTAGAGAAGAATGAGGCTCAAGATAGGTTTCACTACATACTATGTTACCTACCACAAAGAAAGAAAGAAGAAAGCATTCAAGCAAACCTCCTCGGTGCGACCGATTGCAAAGCCCAGCTTGGTGTCACCTTCTTGAAGCCTAATATCCACAGCAAGTTCTCCAGCAGATGGGGTGTACCAAAGGCGAGCCGCCTTGACCACGCCGATGTCGACCCCATGGTAGTCCTCGAACCCATAAAGGCTAGCGTTTGCGAGACTCGAAAGGTCAGATAGGGATCCACTATTCACAGTTGCAGAGGCGGTCTCCCCAGATATCTGCACAGGAAAACATAAGCTCGACTCACTCGAATGCAAAAAGCCCTTCACCTTTGTCGAACGTTGATTCTCACCTTGGTGAGGAGAGCCTCAGTCTGGACATCCATGAAGTCTATGGGGACTCCTGAGATCTGAGAGGCGACGAGCCAAGCATTTGCACGGGCCAAGGTGTCCTCGAGGGAGTTGTAGCGGGAAGCAACTGGGTCCAATGCCTTTGGAAGAACCAGCATCGAGAGGAAGCAGCTGGAGTTGGAAACTGGCAGAAACTCCTTCATCTTCTTCTCCCAATTATAAGATACGTATCCATCCTGAATCTTGCAGGTGCTCAGCGCACATACCACCCTCGAGCTTCGTGAGCCTTAAGAACAAAGAAAGGGTGGTAATTCTTGGAGACAAATGAGAAAATAGTAAGCTTATCTTGCGTGAGCTCCTTCAGCACTGATAATGAACTTCTCTTCTATTATTTGCCAATGATCATATAACCACAAATCTAGTTCTATAGGAATTAACTGTATGGAGGCAGACTTGGATCTATTTAATTAATTAAGATATATTATAAATTTGATTAGATTTTGATTAAAATTATCGATATAATTCCTTGATAGATGATCTTGATAGAATAGACTCTCTTAATTATCTTTCATAGATCATCTACTCTCATTTATATATATATAGAGAGAGAGATCATAGTATGTTGCTTTGCAACATTCTAAGTATCCCATTGATTATCATATTTAAAGGGATGCACCTTCTATCTCAAATTTATGATACTTAGTTTCAATATTAGAATTAAATTTTTGTACATTGGTTTTATTTCTTATAGTTAGTATAAGAACTATGACTTTGAAATCTAAGTTGTTATAGATCATTAACGAAACTATATCTTCTTAGGAGATTGTTAATAGAAAAAAAATCTAATTATAATAAGATTCTTTAGGAGTGAGCTTGATAGAAGGGACTCTCCTAATTATATCCTTTACTTTCGCTTATATAAAGGTAGGACCTTTAGGGGATTACACAATAATAAATATATCTCTTCTCTCATCTCTCTATAAATATTTATTTCATCAATTATAATAGGACTAAAAATAAAAAGAAAGGAGAATGGGAGTTTAGCTTTTTTTTTTTTTTTCCCACATTTCAATAGTCTTGAAAATAGAAAGAAAGGGGAATGAGAATTTAGCTTTTTCTCACATGTTGATTATGATAAATTCGTATATAGATCATGGTATTGATTTATGACATCTGAGATATCTTATTGGTCATCGTATTTAAAGGAGAATGAGAGTTTAGATCATGGTATTAATTCACGACATCCAAATATTTTATTAATTATCGTATTTAAAGACATATACCATTTTTTAATCTTAGATCTACGGTACTTAATTTCGGTCTTGATATTAATTTTTTATATAATAATTTTATTTTTTAAAAGGTACAGATAATATCTGTATCTATGAGATTGAGACTAAACAGTTACAATAACTCGCAGAATGGTTTTGCTAATAGTCTATCAGATGTTTGGTCAAAGAAGGCTTGTGCCATAAGCCAGCTCGTGGGAAGGAATCTAGTTCGGCTGTCACCCATGGTAATAAAAAATTAGTATTCATGAAGATGATGTCTCTTGCAGACCACTTTGCATCAAAATTTAAGATCAAGTATCAAGGAAGCAACTCTTAGTTTGAGCCAAACTATATCATATAAAAGAATCTATATCCATCCCTTCACTCAGTAGAATTGGACGACAAGTCAAAAACAAGGAAGCGGTACAGACAACTCTAAATCAATAGGAAAACTGGTACCAAGCTATTAATAAAACTACAGAGGGGCTCCCTGTATCTTCGCAGATTATATACAGTCTTAAGAGAATCCAACGAGCGCTTTTCTAGTGCCATGCATCTTGAGTTTTCTTTTCTGTGTTAAATGGCAAAAGCTACCGTATTCTACGCCAAAAATTTCTAAGATGGATTACGGGTTGATGAAGACAAAAAGAAGTCTCCTGTAACGAAGTCGATGAAGAAAAATTTGCTCAAGAATGAGAGAATTAATACCCTGTGTCCGACTTGGGAGGTCAATATGAGAGAATTTGGAGTCAGAAGAGGAGGTCAGAGGCCGTACCCTGCAACGCGATGCACTCGCTCTCCATGCGGTCCACGAAGCCGACGGCGTAGTTGGGATCGCGGATGGAGCGGAGCACGTACTGGCGCCGCCCGGCCGGGCCGTGTGGCACGATGCAGGCCTGGAGCTCCGCCGCGTTGCCGCCGCACCGCCGGACCCTGACCTCGATGGACGTGTCCCCGCGCTTGAAGGCCGAGTGGAGCAGCTTCTGGACCCCACTCTTTCCGCCTTTGAACGGGGAGCGGACGGCGGGGGACCCTCCGATCTTGATCTCCTCCACAACGTCCCCCGTCTGCAGCAAGTCCCCGCCCCACTCCTCCGCCTTGGAGCTCCCCGCCACGCACTCGATCGCCACCACCGACGGCTGCTGCGGGCGGTCCATTCTCATCCCAGTCGTTCCCGCTCCCTCTCGCTGCACCAATCGTCCCAATATCAGTATCAAAGATTCTTAAGGAAATCCGACTAATCTCGGCGTAAAGATGCGATCTTTACGGCTTTCTCGATCGCCGGAACCAAGGAAAAAAAATCCCAGCTTTGCGCGATTGACGATCTCAGCACATGGAATCCTCCTCAAGTCTCGATTTTTAATCCCAAAGAGTGGAATAAATAAAAAATAAAAAGAAGGATATTTTGTAGCAGGAGAGGAAGAAAGTACGTGAGATCAAAAGAGGCCCGTAGCAGAGAGATTCTCCTTCGAACCGAATTCAATGAAGACTCCTCCTGCAGAGGGAGGGAGGGAGGGAAGGAAGCAGGGACGGGAGGCGTGTTTACTTGGATCGATTGCTCGCACATGTTAAACAATTATATAAAGAATGCAGAGCTGAGCCCAACGCTGTCGTTGTGGAGGTGACGGGTGGAGTGGGGTTGGGAGGTATTTTTCCCTGCACCGGTCCTGGAAGGCAACATTATTTCTCGCGAAGCCCGGCGGGCCGGTAGATTCCTTTGCGGGGTCCGCCGACATCCGATTGCGAGGATAACCATCTTCCCCTGCGTGGGGTTCCGTGTCGGGTGAGGTAAAATTGCGATCGCAGCCGTTGATTCCGTGGACCTGGAGGAGTGCGCACGCGGGTTCGGAGAAAGCTAGAACTGAGCCTCCCCTACCTAACGTCGGACGAGTGGGGCCCGGGGTCACTCGCAGCTTGAGGTGTCGAGAATATATATGCTCGGAATGAATGCGGAATGATCTCAACCGTAAAAGTTGTAATGATCCGACGCAATGGACGGTGGATTACGGGTTATTAATTGGGAGGAGCCGCGGCTCGTGGTCTCGCACGATTGGCTCTGACGGCAGGGAACACCGACGCAAACACCGGTTGGGATTTCGGGTGTGGCTACGGTTGCGTTCCCTGTCTGGTTAGCCTCCCAAACGACGCCACTTAGTCGGCATTTAAAGCGCCGACCGGCACTGTGGTCAACGATTACGTGTTACCAATGAACAACAAAGGAAGGCGGAAAACACGACACAAATTTAATGGCCGGCGGGGTGTTAGATCCGTGTTGTCAACGTTGCTCCTCGCTCGCTCTCTCTCCCCCCATCGGTGTTCCTGTTCTTGGGAAACGCAGCGAAACGTGAAGGAGAGGGCAGGGAGAGAGCAAGAGCGATGCGGGAACGTTCGAACAGGTGCAAAGCAGCGGAGAGGCAACAGAAAAAGAAGGTTGGCGTCCTCCGATCAGTTGATCAGTGCATCGAGAGAAATCTGTAGATGGGCTTAACGTCAGGGAAAAATGATGTTTGAAATCATCAAAACCTCACACACCTCCGGATGTTTCCTCGGTGAGATGCATTCTGCCTCGGACTGCGCTTTCATGATTTGTTCTCCACTTGTTCGCGACAAGTATTCCGGACATGTTGAATTTTGAACCATGGTTGAGTCAACGGTCAACCCGACGAAGCAACTCAGCCGTAGTTTTCGGCTCAGATCGAAACTTTGGTACACGAATCAAAATATGGATGGTACAAAGCTGAAGACAGGTGTACACATGTGATATCTTTGTTTGGCATATTCGTGTGATATCCCCATCTATCTACCACTTGAAAAAACTACTAGTTCATAAAGTTCCTTTCAGTGTTCGAAAATGTTTGACTGCAACCACAGATAAATGTCTGTTATCATCCATAATCCACTTTTAAGAATTAGATATCCCAAGGAAAACAAACAAGAAGCATATCACTAACTTCATTCAATATAAAGATAAATAACATAGAAAGAATTTGTCAATTAGAAAAAGAGATCTTTAAGGAAAGAATTTCTCAATAATATACGTTTTCCTCTCTTTTAAAATGAATGATATTAAAACCCATGCCTTTTTTTCCTTCTTCTTTTCCTAAAATAAAACTGGAACCTTCTAAAGATCGCTCCCAAATCAGTAAATAAGAAATCATTTCATCATAAGTAATATTGAATTAAAATATAAAAAAATAATTCACAAGATGATCTCTTAACATCAAAAAAAATTATTTTTTTTTCTTTTCGCACTTACCCTGAGTTCCACGTAACTGTTTAACGGCATAATCTTCTATGCACTCTTCGAGTTTAAAACGGTGATGATAATGATGACAAAAAAATATGTGTTGGAGAGGGTTAAAAAATTTTCACTATTGGATTATGTAGTCTTATTTAATTTTGATTAAGATATATTAAATATCTAATTAGATTTGATAAGTTATTTGTAGAAAGTACAATTATATTAGAAAATCTTGAAGAGATTCTTCAAAGTACATCTTCCTAAACCTCTATATATTGGTAGGACCTCCTAAGGATTATAAATTATCTAAAACTATAAATCACTTTCTCATCTCTCTCTTAGTCCCCATGGACATTGTTAGCTATCATTCTCATGCCTTCCTACAACTATAAATCAAATTGCGGTCAATGATATAAATTTTCCTCTTTTAAAATGCAGGACACATGCCTTTTTTCCTACCTCAAACGGGAACCTTCCAAAGATGCACCTTTTTGCTCCCAAATCAAAATCAATTAGGAGTAGTCAGTAAGAAGCCTTTTAATAAGAAGCAACGTTGACTCAAAAGGTCAAAAAAAAATTCAAAAATGATCTTTTAACTCTAATTTTTTTTCTCTTTTCATTCTAACACTTACCCAGAGTTCCACTGCACAATCTTCCTTGCACTCGAAGATAGGGACAACGAGGACATGTTTGATGGGGCTAAAGAGTTCACACTTTGATTATATGGTCCTATTTTAACTATAGTTAAAATATATTAAAATTTTGATTAGATTCTGATTAATGTTATTAGTTAATAAAAAAAATTACTTATGTTAGGAAACCTTAGGAGATATTGATGGGAGGGATTCTCTATTCTCTCTCTCCTATATATTGGTAGGACCTCCTAGGAATCATATAATCAATAAATTTTAAAAACAATAGATGCCAAGGGTTCTAAAATGCTTGAAGCATTAGGCACTATGAAATATTATAATATAAAAAATAATATAATTATATAAATTAAAATATGATATTAAAAAAATTAAAATACTAAGTCATATTATCCATATTCTAATAACAAAAAATTAAAAAAATTTAAAAAAATTATATCAAATTAAATCGTCATCATAATCAATATTATCATTCTCAAACATATCATCATCTTTTGTTTTCTCTTATCCATTTTCATCAAAATATGTTTCTTCTCTTTGACAATGCCAAAAGATAAGCTTAAGGCTTTTGCATTCATTTTTTCCTTAATCATCTATCTTGTATATGTCTGTAAGTTTTCAACACCTATGGCTTTAGCTATATCTCTTCATGTTAAGCTGTCATCTTTAAATACAAGCTCATCTTCGACATCTTATAAATTCGTACACATTTCTCTCACTAACCACTTATTTGAATCATCAATGCCTTATAATAAGATTAGATCAATAGTATTTTATAAATCATGATGAACCTTCAATATTTAATTATATTTTATATAAATAAGATCACGTAATTGTTGACGATCTAATTAATTTCATCTTTTTATATGAATTTATCATGTCATATAATTTAAAAATATATTATACATCTATCTAAAAATGAAATAGATTAATTAAAACAAAAATATTGATCTTTGAAGACACTTCAGTTTCGCTCACAACCCATAGCACTACATGTCAAACTAAGAATTTTGATAATCAACTACTACAAGTTTGATGTAAAATTTTTAAATAAACTTTATAATTCAATTGTAAAATTTATTTTATTATTAATAATAACATACTATATATAAAATTAATTATATAAATTATAATTAATTGATTTTATTATAATTTTATTCCCAAACCTCTATTTAAACCATTGCATATAATATCTAAGATCAAAGAAATCTTTTTTCACCTCTCCTGTTAGTTTCTATTCTATTAATAATTGTGGTACTTCTAAAGATAAAAGAAAGAAAAGAAAGAGAATCTAGATTTCTTCTAGAGATCTACACTGGTCTTGCTTCTTACTGTTCAGACATGCGACACATTGTCAAATCAATAGAAATATATTTTGTCATGGTATAAAAAAGGTACGCAAAACTAATTTTTTATTTATGGATACTTGATTTAAATCCCGACATTATGTAATTTTGTATGTAGTTTTTATTCTAATGCCCACAACATGATCTCCTCGCAGCTCAACCAACCTCCAATAGTGCTGATAGAGGTGGCCTCCTCCGTGTTGACGAGACTTTCTTGGAACGAGTCCTACGCAATCTTCCTCGTCCGACGAAGCGACTTGAGAGTCAGCAATGGGAGTGGAGACAAAGGGGGCGAGCAAGACATGAGCCAAAGTCGAGAGAACGGTCCGGAATTGGAGTATTCTTCATCACCATTCATGGATCGAGAGATGAATGGTTCATGTTTTTTTGTTATTGATCCTTCAGCTTTACAGTTTGTAACGCAGGCTTAAATCAATATATCTTCTTCTTTCTTTCAAGAAAAAAAAATGAAAATTCTAGGAAGTTTACATACAAGACATCATGAGAGTAAGATTACTACAACGATGAGGAAAATAAAAGGTGCACACTAAATTCATAATTTAGGTGTGAGTGAGATTAGTGCGACCCCTCCGACAAAGTCATTTGATGAATGAAAATAACTATATTTCCTACTGATGGATCAAATTGTAACAATTAAATTTATTATTTCAAAAACACCAACCACTTTTGAGTCCAAACTTTGCTGAATTCGTCCATCATCTCGAGTCAAATCTTCATGTGAGATGATATGAAAATCAAAGCAAAGCAATATGTGCTTGAATCCTCTCTATTTTACCATATGGATGCATCCCATGGTTGAGTTTTTTTATATTCTTTTTATTTCTTTGCTTCCTTTTTTTTTTTAATTTAATTTTTAGCAAATATTAAACTGCTATCTTGTCGTGAATCACATTGCAAGCAAGAACTTCTACAAACCTATAAAAGCATTCCAAAAACACTGAGGAGATAACAAGATAACAAAAGACAATAAAAAACAAGAAGCTTGCTCTTCTCATTACCTCCCAATAAAATACACTGAGCGGAGCAACCAAAGAACTAGTATCACCAAATAACACAACCTTCATGGGTCGAAAATGGTACTTCTCATTCCTCTTGTACTCGACTTCTCAAATAAGTATTAAATCAATAAGAATTATATGGATCATCTCTATTGAGATATTCGGATTGATTAATATATTATTACATAAGTGATATATCTTAGGTTGGAATCCATGTATAAACATCATATACATAATTTGATATAATAATTTTTTTTAAAAAAATAAATTTTA